AGCAAGAACAGCTAAATAAGGAGCCCTGGTGGCACTGTGAAATAGGCTTTGGTCAGCAGTTCAAACCCAGTAGTTGATCCAAGGGAGAGAGATGAGTATCTTTTCCCACAAAGATTTACCATCTCAGAAACCTTATATAGGGTCACTGTGATCAGAATGGATGCAATGTCAATGGATTTGCGTTTTAGTTGTTTAATTATATATAGGAGTCCTGGTGTGGCGCTGTGGGCTAATGCGTCAGACTGCAAAGTTGTTTGAACAGCAAGGTGGGAGGTTCAAGCTCACCAGCTGCTCCTTGGAAACACTATACAGGGTTGTTTTGGGTCGGAATTAACTCAACGGCACTTAACAACAATTATATATAGGTCCATTATGTGCAATTATAAGAAAACCTTTGTTCCATCATGTTTTTACTTTTTTTTTTTTTCAATTGTTTCCCTACTCAGTTGACATTTTCCCAAGGTGTTGTCATTGTTGTTAAGTGCCATTAATTTGGTTCCTACTCATAGCAACCGTGTCTAGGGTTTTGAAGGAGCAGCTGGTGGGTTTGAACTGCCAGCCTTGCAGTTCAAACCAACCTTGAAGATCCATTGCATTATCCTGCAACTCCACACCAGGTTTCCCAAGGTAGAAGACAGAAAAGAGCAATTTCAGAATCTTCTAAGAAGATTTTGAGGCATGAGTATTTTTCAAATTATATGATGCCATAGAAAGCGCTAAATTAAAAGTCAAAAGACATGTATAGAAATTCTAGTTTGCCAAATTACTAATCACGTTTCCAGATCTGTATAAAATAGAAATGATTATCCATAAGCTTTTTGCCTCACAGTGCTGATTATAGGATCAAAAACATCTGCTGATTCTAGCAGAAACCAGACTGACCTCTCTTTCGACTAGATTCATAGGACACCTCTCCTGTAATAATGGCAACAGCAAATTTCTTAGGGAAATAAAAGGTCAGAATTTACTGTAAGAAATGGGTAAAGTTTAATTCTATCTCTTTAAGACCTCTTTTATTATCTCTATTGCTAAGTGCTGTTGAGTTGGTTCTGACTCACAGCGACCCTGTATAGGATTTCTGAGGCTTTAAATCTTTACTGAGCAGAAAGCCTCATCTTTTAGCTCTGGGTAACTCATTTCTTATTCATTTGTGAAATAGGTTTAATTTTGACAATACTCAGCCCTGTCAAGAGCTCATTTAACATTAGCATCTTTTTTCCTTTTTTAGGCTTGTTTGCAGATTGATCCTGCTGAGAGGATATCTTCCACTGATCTTTTGCATCATGAGTATTTTACTAGAGATGGATTTATTGAAAAGTAAGGATTTTATTCATACGGCCTTTTAGTATTTGTATTAAATATTTTACTATCATGAGAATTGCTACATAAGTTAATGCTACACAACAGAAATATTTATCAGAACAAAAGCTTATTGAACTACTGTATCAGATACTGACTAAGCATATAGTATATCTATAGGTGTCATGTTGTTGTTGTTGTTGTTATGTGCTGTGGAGTCGGTTCTGACTCATAGCGATCCTGTACAGGGTTTCCGAGGCTGTAAATCTTTACAGGAGCAGAAAGCCTCATCTTTCCCCCGTGGAACAGCTGGTAGTTTCAAACTGCTGACTTTGAGGTTTGTAGCCTGATTCATAACCACTACACTACCAGAGCTCCTTTAGGTGTCATGTAGGAAGACTCTAATAAAAAAAATCACATCTAACATTTATTAGAGTTCCTGTACAGTATTGTATGATACACACTGGACTGCTAACTGCAAGGTCAGTGGTTCACACCCTCCAACTACTCCTCAGAAATTCTATACAGTGTCTCTGTGAGTCAGAATCAACTCATCGGTACATATCAACCATAGCATAGATTCTCTGCTTTGTAATTCTTTTGCTCAGAGAATCTATCTCTAGTCAGTTTGTCTTATTATGGTGGCTTGTATGAAGTGATATTGGAAGCTATGGCACCAGTGTTTCAAGTACCAGCAAGGTCACGCATGATGGACAGGTTTCAGTGGAGCTTCCAGACTAGGAAGAAGGACCTATTTCTAAAAATAATTTATGGCCAGTGAAAATTTTGTGAATAGCCATGAAAGATTGGCTGATATAGTGCTGGAAGATGAACCCATCAGGTTGGAAGGTACCTCAAAATACAATGGGAGAAGAGCAATCTCCTCAAAATAGAGTTGCTCTTAATGATGTGGATAGAGTAAAGCTTTAGGGACCTTCATGTGATGATGTGGCATGACTCAAAAAGATAAGAAACAGCTGCAAACATCCATTAATAATTAGAATGTAAAATGTTGTTGTTGTTATTGTCAGGTGCCATCGAGTCGGAACTGACTCATAGCAACCCCATGCACAGCAGAACGAAACAATGTCCAATCCTGGGCCAACCTCACTACCGCTGCCACACTTGAGTCCATA